TCAAGGTATCAAACTATATCTGTATGAATAAAACGGCAAGAAAAAACAAATAGACGAGTTTTGGCATTGTTATAGGATCTATGATTTCCTAGGACGCCTCGGCAATAGTTAAAGTTTGACTAGTGAAAGTCTTGTGATATTTCTAACAGCGACAAAATCACCAAGAGGAATAAACTTTAGGGGAAAGTGGCTACCACACATCCTTAGGACGAACTGTTCTTCCTTTTGTTGTTTTATCGCACGAGGAGTTATGATCGTATTATGTAAGGATAGAAACATAAAAAACACCAGAAACATTATATTAGTCTCGATATATAGGGGTTACGCTCACTTTCGCGCTCTGCATCCCTGGAATATGTCATGGTAAAATTGAAGGCTCAGTGTGCACAACATTGTGGATGAGACAAGAAGACCAGTTTCATCCTGTGATGTACATTGAAATAATCCCGCGGTCGCATAACGGTATAACTGGCTTCGAAGTCGGGCATCGCTCTTTTGAAAGGACAGGTATCAGTCTAGTGTTTGGTCAGTTTTTTTTTTTACCTGAGACCAATTGAATAGCTAGCAACGTGCCTTCAATTTTGCTATGCCATATTCCAGTGGTGCAGAGAGCAAAAGTGGGCGTAACCCCTGGATATCGAGGACGCAGAAACATAAGCTGATACCTTTATGACTAATGTCAAATATAATTTACCATTGCATATTTTATTCAAAGAGCAATGTCGATCATGTAATTCATCAACCTTTATCAGATTTCTTTTATAAAATATAAAATGCCGTATTTATTTCTATGTATAAGATATCTTATATAATTTAAATCTCGTTACAATATGATATGTCTTATATATAATTACATTTCGTTGAATTAAGTGCGCAATACTTAAAGAGTTTTCTAAATATGTTTTTCAATCAATAATAACAATTGTTTCCATATTCGTGAGTGTCTATGACAGACTAGCCCAGGGACGGAGAATGACGTAGGAAGTTACTGTCTTGTAACGTCCATTGCAATGGGTGACGTCACAATGTGACAAAGATGGCGCGACATTATAAAATCGAGAAAATTCCTAGCCAAAATGCGGGAAATAACGACGTGATCACAGGGGATCGGTTTCGGGATACTTTTATACAAATTCGAATACCTTATACAAATTGAGGGTATAAAACCATTTTACTTTTTTTAATACCTCGGTACCCTCACTTTTGACAAGGTTTAAGAATGCGTATAATAGTATCCCGAAAGCGAGCCCCTGTGGACGTCATAGCTAAAATAGGTCAACTATCGTTCTATTTAGAGAGAAATTGTGAATATTTCTGTCAAAAATGCGTTTTGCGAAATTGGGTATTCTATATGTTGCTGACCAGGAAGTAGGGGTGATTAAAATTTGTTATTAACACACTATAGTAAGTCTCAAAACGCCCATTCGTGGTTTTGGTAAGGAGAGTGAAAGGAAGAGCAATGCCACACTTGATATATCCAAATTGTTGCCTCACTCTCTGCAAGCCTTGGATTTTATCCATTTTCAAAAAAAAACTCGTGCAGCATGTTCCTATTCCTACAACACTGGTCATGAAACTGTCCAATAAAATAACACCCAATTTTATGAAAGGTTGATATTTTCAATAAGATTGCCAGTCAAGACGCCTTTTCATGGTTTCAGCTTATTATGGTGATTGGGTTAAGATAAAACAAAAAACACCTTTTCATGTTCTCGGGTGTAGGAAATGGAAATCCAATCGTTGGGATTTTCAACATTTGAAAACCCTATCCTTCATTCCATGACGTTATACATTCTTATCATAATTTTAATTGAAATGACAGGACTGTGTGTATGCCCCCGATATCATGTTAATGTACTCGTGCCAATAATAGGAAGCACGCTGTATTGAAATAAATATAAAAAAAGACACTGGAACAGGTGTATTGTAAAGAATAATAGAGGTTTTTTTTACTGTTCGTCTAGAGGGAATCCGGGTAGTTGTTCCAAGAAATACGTGTCAGAATACTCACATGATCCAGCCAATTGTTCTACACTGAATACATGCAATGTTATAAAATGCTAAAAATATAAGATTAAACCAAATATTTACGCCACCGTCTGATCTGAAGTCCTATTGGTTACATCGGGTCACGTGGTATAAATATGCAGTGTAAATGCAGCCGAAAAATAACTATATATTTCATACGCGGAAGTTTTTCTTCATTTATTATCTAACGCACCATCGGATACATTGTAGACTGTCACAACATATACAACAGGCTTCATTCTTACACAGGTACGTGTGTTCGTATTGTTAAACGAGAGTGACAAGTTTTTATCCGACCTTTGAGAAATCCGACATTCTGTCATAGATAATGTTGTCAAACTGGTCAAATTTTAGTAACCGGTGACTCGAAAAATCGTCCGACCGAGTTACCGGTTAATCGGTCAATTAATTGGTTAATGAAACCATCAACAACAACAATACTTACGAAAAGTTTTTTTTTTCCACAACCAATTATATTTCCTATGTGACGTTTTGATGACTAGTACGATATGTATACTGTCACCTTCATGCACACAAAGGTGTAAAATGTGTACGAGTTGTCCACAAAATCGATGTCGATTTCGGCTACGCTGTAAGCGTATGTACAATAGTTGTTATATGTGTACCGAAATGACTTGATTCAGCTACGCTTTCAGCACCAGTGTGTGCATACGCTTCTCTGGTCATTTGTCTGATGAAGGTGACAGTGTACATATCATACTAGTCATCGAAACGTCACATAGAAAACTGTATTGGTTGTCAAAAATAGAACTTTTCATAATCCATACTTACCAACCTGAAGAAAATGTTTAGAAACAACAAATACGTTGTATGTTTTGCAAATGTCCTGTTTAAAACGTGTTACATATTAATTAGCGCGACATTTTACTCTCATAAACTGAATGCAAGAAATATATGTAACCTTAATAAGTATAGATCATGGGCAAAAAATGGTCAGAAAAAACGGGATGAAATATAAGTAACAATGTTTTCTACTCGATATCATATGCGGTAATATTGTTCTTGAAAAACATGATATGTTGGACAAATTAATTCATAAATGATTGCACCTCTTTTAATGTTTCACTGATATGCATGCTTCATTTAAATTTGTACTCTTGAGATAATTTTCCACCTGTTGGCAAAGTTTGCATTTAACAAGTTTGCATTCTGGCTCCCTTTTTAAATCTGTTCAGGCTTTGTATGGTGTTGTCGGCATATCTTTGTCAATCTTTATTATCAAGTACAAAAACAAAACATTATAGGAACAACTCGATATTGATCTCATCAATAGATAACGTCTGGTAAACAAGGGGCTCCCCATGGGGTAAATAATGTCCGACTATTCGGTTTTTATTTTGGTAACCGGTTAACCGGCTAACTGTTGACAATCTAGTCATGCATTAGCCGAAAAGGGGTATGAGGGAAACATACTGCCTAACTGACAAGTTATTCTTTGAGCGAGGTCATTGGGTGGATGTGGCCCTCTCGACCGTTACATTACAGCAATATCGCAGTTTTTGACTGACGGTAAAATTCTGGCAATACGTTCGACCTAGCGTAGTGTCTGCAGATAAGAAGAGATTCACTGTGATAATTGTATTGTGGAAATGACGTTAGAGATAAGATTCGCCTTAGAATTGGTAATGCACTTCTTACAATTACCATCGTCTTAATAAACGTATACTGCAGATCAAAGCTTTAATAACATCTAAAGTGGCTGAAATATAAAGCGGCAGGAACAATGAGACACTTTCGTTTTTGTTGTTGAAAAAAAATTCGTCAATTTTGCGCCTAAAACAATTAATAACCGTATTTTTGTGAATAGTGTATCTGTATGATATCAAAGTTTGACTTTCTACACAAGCAATGTACGTATTAAACGTCTCGCAACGTTTCAAGACCGACTGGTCCCTTTGTCAAGGTGTCAAACTATATCTGTATGAATAAAACGGCAAGAAAAAAAAACTAGACGAGTTTTGGCATTGTTATAGGATCTATGATTTCCTAGGACGCTTCGGCAATAGTTAAAGTTTGACTAGTGAAAGTCTTGTGATATTTCTAACAGCGACAAAATCATCAAGAGGAATAAACTGTAGGGGAAAGTGGTTACCACACATCCTTAGGACGATCTGTTCTTCCTTTTGTTGTTTTATCGCACGAGGAGTTATGATCGTATTCTGTAAGGATAGAAACATAAAAACACCAGAAACATTATATTAGTCTCGATATATAGGGGTTACGCTCACTTTCGCGCTCTGCATCCCTGGAATAGGTCATGGCAAAATTGAAGGCTCAGTGTGCACCACATTGTGGATGAGACAAGAAGACCAGTTTCATCCTGTGATGTACATTGAAATAATCCCGCGGTCGCATAACGGTATAACTTAATGCCTTCGAATTCAAAGTCGGGCATCGCTCTTTTGAAAGGACAGATATCAGTCTAGTGTTTGGTCAAGTTTTTTAACCTGAGACCAATTGAATAGCTAGCAACGTGCCTTCAATTTTGCTATGCCATATTCTAGTGGTGCAGAGAGCAAAGGTAAGAGTAACCCCTGGATATCGAGGACGCAAAAACATAAACTGATACCTTAATGACTACCGTCAAATATAATTTACAATCGCATATTTTATCGAGGTGTGTTTACAGCAAACACTCAAATGCTAACTGAGATCGGAGTCTCCATGAAGTCGTAAGTCATCGTCGTGCTGTGCAGATACATGCAAAGACGACTTAAGCCCGCTAACATAATTTAAAACCTTTCAAACAACGTAAAATTCCTGTAAACTGATAAAACAAAGCCTCATTTTGAATTTTATGTTATGAAATATTGGCTTTTAAACTGATAATTATTGATTATGTCGTAAACCTAATCTCCTTATCATAGATGGTTGCGCTCACCAGATTTTTGTTTCATAATATCATACTTTTGTTTTATACTTAAACTGAAAGATAGAATATTGTTTTACAGAATACGACAATGGCTGACCAGAATTTTATTGACGAAGTTGTGAAGGCTCACAACAACTACCGGGCCAAACATCAGTCCGGACCGATTGTCCATTCCTCAGAACTGACCAGCGTCGCTCAACGTTGGGCTGACCATCTGGCCAAGACGGACGGATTTCAGCACAGCGATTGCAAGCATGATGGGAAGAGCATTGGGGAAAATATCGCCATGAAGTGGACATCGGGTCCCGATAATTATACAGGTATTTAAATACTTTAATCAGCGGTTCAAGGACTGGTCACTTAATGGATTTTGCATTGATTTTTCAAAATAACAAATTTTTTGGTGAAGCGGTGACGGTTGATATTTCATGAACATTCATCTGAATTATTTTAAAAGTTATAATAACCCAAAGATCTGACTACAAACTGCTCCTGTGTATATGGATGTTCGTACAGTAACACGTGCAGGTCAAGGGCACAGTTAAATGTAATGTTAAAAGTCTCATAAGAGTAACTGGTCAAGATCACAGTTAACACGTGAAGTTCAATGTCATAGTTAACATGTGCTTGTCGAGGTCACAGTTAACACGTGCTTGTCGAGGTCACAGTTAACATGAGATGGTCAAGGTCACAGTTAACACGTGCTTGGCATGGTCATATTAAACACCTACTAATAAGGTCACACTTAAATCTTACGAGCAATTTGGCATTGGATATTTCTGGATTTTCTACCATTTAATTATTTCAGATTTCAATTCAATTTGGTTTACGCTTGTTGTACTGCAAAATGCCAGTAGATATACAAAAAAATATAATCTGATCCATGATGACGTCATTTTCAAACAACGATCATGATTATCATGATTGTAACATTGACCTTGTGAAGTAGTTTCCTTGACCTTGTAACCCTGTAACGTTTCAACCTTCAACATAAAGAAAATAGTTGCACTGTTGTGTTATGACCATGTAGCCTTGATCTCATTGTCATCGAGTAACGCGGTCACCTTGACATTGTAAAAATATAATATTGGCTTGGTCACATTGTAACCGTGTGATGTCGTAATCCTGACCTTGTGACCTTGGATCGTTTAACCTTGACCTTGTAGCCTTTTAACGATATAATATTGGCCTGATAGCATTAAAGCCATGTGACGTCATAATCCTGACCTTGTGACATTGTATCGTTGAATCTTGACCTTGCTACATTATAACACTTTACCAACATGAAGAGGTTTTCCACTTTGCTATTATTAGTCTACTGACGTATTGAGGCGAATTTGACCTGTAAACCCGGATTCTGTGTCTCTGTATTTGATTTGAGGATATTTTGAATGACCATATAAGGTGTTTTGAAGATGGGTTTATTTCCCGAGGTATAAGATGACAATGACAGGTGTTTGGCGTCTTTTATTTCACAGAGATGTCAGTTGTGGTGTTTTGAAAGGAAATAAAATCCTCCAAATATAATTATTCTCGGTTATCTAATTACGGACACACATGCAATGCATTCAGACAATAGAAGGAACCACCAACGCTATTATCTTACAAAGGGCCGATCCGTTTACGATATCTAATTCCATGATGTCGCATACAACAGGATGTTTTTAACATTCTAAATAAATTGACAATTTGTATTCAAAGAAGTGTTAAATATCCATAGAGATTAAATGACAAATAATCTCGAACAACAACAAGAATTAAATACCTTTCTGGTTAAAAATTATGTTGAGAAACTATTTAATGTGGGTTCATGAGATCTCTGTTTTATACGCTTCTATCCCTATACCAGATATACCATGAACAATTCAATATCGGAGGTGTGTCGTCATCGTCACAAAGAAATTGTCATGTTGTGTCAAATGTAACAGATGTCGTGTTGTGTAGTGTCATGTTGTGTTGTGTCATGTTGTGTCCTGTTGTGATATGATTTTATACTATCATGTCATGTTACTTGTAGCGTGCTGTTGACTCGTGCAATATCATGTTTTGCGTTATTTGTGTTGTGTCATGTCCCGTCATATGCGCCTTGTGCCCAGTGTACTTAGCGTTCTGTAGTAAGTTTCTCCTGTACTGTTGCATGACCTCATATCGTGTTCCGAGTGCCTTCTGCGATCTTATATCGTGTTGTGTTATAAGGAGCACGTACATTTCTTTTCGTGTGTTCATTGCAACGTGAACATCGTGTCGTTTGAACTATCCGTCACGCGACCCTTGTGTCCCTGTGCCTTGTGCTCGTCATGCCGTGTTCGCTCCGTGTCTTATGTTAGTCGTGTCTCGTTTACTTCGTGTCGTAAGAACCTTATGTCATGTGATCATGGGATTATGTGTACGTCATGAGAGGTTAAACTCTTATCGTGCAGACTTGGTGTTATGTGAATCAAGTATCGTGTGAATCTCGTGTTGTGCTTCGTGACGTTTGAACCTCGTGTGGATTCCGTGAGATGTACACCTGATGTAGTGTGAACTCTGTGTCGTATGAGCCTCGTCCTCTGTGAACGTCTTGTGCTGTGAGCCTCGTGTCGTTTGAGCCTCGTCTCCTTGTGATGTAGGCTTCGAGTCGTGTGAACTCCGTGTCGTGTGAAGCTATCCCGCTCGATTTGTATGAACTTCGTCTAGTGTGAACTCCATGTCGTGTCAACTCCGTTTTGTGTAAACTCCACTCCGTGTCGCATGAAACTCGTGTCGTTTAAACACCGTGTCGTGTGAACTTCGTGTCGTGTGAATCTTTTGCTCGTTTTGTATAATTAGTGTCGTCGGAACATCGTGTCGTGTGAACTCCCTGTCGTGTGAAGCTGGCGCTCGTTTAGTATGAACTAAGTGTCGTCGGTACCTCGTGTCTTGTGAACTCCCTGTCGTGTGAAGCTGGCGTTCGTTTAGTATGAACTAAGTGTCGTCGGAACCTCGTGTCTTGTGCACTTTGTGTTGTGTGTAACAACAACCACGTAACATTGAAGCCTGGTCAGTCAACGTCTGTCCATGTCACTTCTATATTGGCGTGAACTTAATTTGTACATTATCGATGTATTGTTTTATGTATTTCGCAATCACAAACAAAATAATTGGCGATATAAGTTTATCACATTTATCGTTAACAATTAAATACAGAAACTGTCTTATTATCAGACAAACAATGAGTAAAGTTCACGCGTTTTAGGTCCATGTTGATTAGCATATTTGTCAGGACTGTGTATATATATAAAGGCCACTAAATGTGTGGTTTAGTCAATTAGGGTCAAACGATACAAGGAAATTGACACTTTGTATTTGTTCGTCGTGGGAGATGATCTACATTAATAGGTTATGTGTAAACATGTACACATACCGGCTAGCATGTCCGGATGTCATATATGTACACCAAGTACTGAACCCTGTCTAATGTACAAACAAAACGAATTTCACTCTAATGTCATGGATAATCGTAATGTAAAGAACCATGTAATGTACAGAACCATATCTTTGCTTTCAATTGTAAAATGTGAATCATAAAATGAATTGTGTAAACTAAGGGAGAACCCTTTATATCTACCTTGTACAGTAAGTACATATCGAATTAAATTTCGATTTGTATTCAGGTGTTAAAATGATTGAACCTTCTCTAAAACAACTCATAACAAAGTTTATTGTATATGGAACAGCAGCTAAAGAAATAGGGATTGACCTTACCCTACACCATGCTTTGTTACATAATGAAACAGGATTTCACCTGGTCTTATAAATAGCGTTGTTACATAATGAAACAGGATTTCACCTGATCTTATAACTAGTGTTGTTACATAATGAAACATGATTTCACCTTGTCTTATAACTAGTGTTGTAACATGATGAAACAGGATTTCACCTTGTCTTATAACTAGCGTTGTTACATAATGAAACAGGATTTCACCTTGTCTTATAGCTAGTGTTGTTACATAATGAAACAAGACTTCGCCTGGTCATATAACTAGCGTTGTTACATAATGAAACAGGATTTCACATTGTCTTATAACTAGCGTTGTTACATAATGAAACACGATTTCACCTTGTCTTATAGCTAGTGTTGTTACATAAAAAACAGGACTTAGCCTGGTCTTATAACTAGCGTTGTTACATAATGAAACAGGATTTCACATTGTCTTATAACTAGCGTTGTTACATAATGAAACACGATTTCACCTTGTCTTATAACTAGTTTTGTTACATAATGAAACAGGATTTCACCTTGTCTTATAACTAGTGTTGTTACATAATGAAACAGGACTTCGCCTTGTCCTATAACTAGCGTTGTTATATATGAAACAGGATTTCACCTTGTCTTATAACTAGCGTTGTTACATAATTAAACAGGATTTTACCTTGTCTTATAAATAGTGTTGTTACATAATGAAACATGATTACACCTTGTCTTATAACTAGCGTTGTTGCATAATGAAACAAGATTTCACCTGGTCTTACATCTTGTATTGTTACATAATGAAACAGGATTTTATCTTGTCTTATACCTAGCGTTGTTACATAATGAAACAGGATTTCACCTTGTCTGATACCTAGCGGTGTTACATAATGAAACAGGATTTTACCTTATCTTACAACTAGTGTTGTTATATAATCAAACAGGATTTCACCGTGTCTGATACCTAGCGTTGTTACATAATGAAAAAGGATTTCACCTGATCTTATAACTAGTGTTGTTACATAATGAAACACGATTTCACCTTGTCTTATAGCTAGTGTTGTTACATAATGAAAAAGGATTTCACCTGATCTTATACCTAGTGTTGTTACATAATGAAACAGGATTTTACCTTATCTTATAACTAGTGTTGTTATATAATGAAACAGGATTTCACCTTGTCTGATACCTAGCGTTGTTACATAATGAAACAGGACTTCACCTTGTCCTATAACTAGCGTTGTTACATAATGAAACAGGATTTCACCTTGTCTTATAACTAGTGTTGTTAATAATAAAACAGGATTTCACCTGATCTTATAACTAGTGTTGTTACATAATGAAACAGGATTTCACCTTGTCCTATAACAATTGTTGTTATATAATGAAACAGGATTTCACCTTGTCTTATACCTAGCGTTGTTACATCATGAAACAGGATTTAGCCTGGTCTTATAACTAGCGTTGTTACATAATGAAACAGGATTTAGCCTGGTCTTATAACTAGCGTTGTTACATAATGAAACAGGAGTTCGCCTGGTCTTATAAATAGCGTTGTTACATAATGAAACAGGATTTCACCTTGTTTTATAACTAGTGTTGTTACATAAT